ACACTTGAAAGTTGCATTGCAAAACGAGAGGAGCAACCTCTCTCAATAGCATAGACTGCCTTCAGAAAATAAATAACAGCTTCTGTTCTCCAAATGGTGAATGTCTGGAGCTTGTTTTGCTTGCTGCTGTTGAGGTATGGGGCAGAAGAGTGGGCAAGAGAAAAAAAAGAAACAGCTCAAGTTAGGAAGACTCCAGAGCTGCTTGAAAGAACAGTTCGGTGGAGCTCATCATGAGCAGAGGGAGCAACCACAAATACATTATTTAAGATTATCCCCATAGTGCTGACCATTGTTAGCTATGGATCAATACAATGGCTTCTGCCAGAAAAAAGAGGCTTTGATATGGAAAAAAGAGAACAGTATTCATATATATAATACATATATATATATAAAAAGATATATATTTCTGAGGGAAATGTTGCAGGCAAATGGAATACGTGTGTGTCATGGTACAGGAAGGCAATCCCAGAGGGATCAATATATAACAAGTGACAGAGTGCTTCACAGATACCCAGCGTGTTCATAGCAGTCACCTTTGGGGCATAAAGCTCTGGAACTGAATCACTTCATCATTACCCTGTCACCTACACACTTGCTTGCACAGCCAGAGAATCATATTTCATGAAATAATGGGTTTTAGTATTAAAGCCTATTATTTCACCTCTGACTACACATTGCATCCTTCTTTAAGTCTTGCCTTTCCAAGATGCTTAGAAACAGCCCCTGATTGATTGACCAGCATGAGGTCAGGAGAAAAGCAAGTGGAACACTCCAGTTTCCTGGTGCCTTTGGTTTTGTTACAAATGCTCTGGCTCCTTCTCTGTGCTGCTCTCCTGTCGTCTTCCTGCTTGGCAATTTCCGTTGCAAGATCTGCAAGGACGGGATTACGCTGGGGTTGCTTTGTACAGCACCTCGTCCTGTAACCGATCACTGAGCAGAGTTTGCAGCAGTGCTGCTGCATAAATAATACATAAAGATACTTCTACACACAACTTCTGATGCTTGGAAAAAACGGTTAATCTATGCCTATCTTTAAAAAAGACAAGGAGGGCACCTTGGAAGCTCCAGGTCAGCCCCAGCTGGGTACCTGGAAAGACTGTGGAGCACATGATCCATTTCTAAACATGCCCAGGGCAAGAGGGCCAGCAGGAAATCTGGCACAAATTTACTGAGGGCATGTTTCAGCAGCCTTTTATGGCAGAACAACTGGTTACCTGAAGGAAGGGAGGAAGGTGGATGGTAGTCCCTTTTCACTAGGTCAACGAAGGAAAGTGCAGCCCTCAGACAGACTATCTGCGTCCTGAGAAGTTTTCAAGAGCATCCCTTACTCAGGTGAGCTGCTCATCCTAGCTCACAGATGCCTCAGCAAAGGGCCACAACCAAAAGGCATAGACATTAAAAGCCACAGGCAGGACGGGAACTGGAAGCAACTTTTTTGAAGTTCCACAAATAGCCAAGTCAGCAGAGGGATTGCTCTGTCCCACAGATTGTGCTTATTGCACAAGTACCGTGGCAGCTGATTAAAAACAAGTAAATACCTTTAAACTTAGCCAGTTAATTGAATAGGAGCAAAAGTCACTGAATGAAAACAGAGCAGGTTTCTGGGATGTTTTTTTCTTGTCATTTTTTTCCAGCAGATCCTTCTTTAAAAAAAAAAAAAAATTATTGCTGAAGAGAGCATTTGTACTAGCATCCCTCCTCCTATCTGTTAGATTTCTACCAATGACCACCAGTAATGGTTTTTGGAAAATGAGCCTGCCTGTATTTTACAAGGACATTTAATTCACAGAGTTCTTATATAAAAGACAAGGTCTCTGTATTTCCCTGCACTTTTTATCAATCTGCTTGTGGAAGAATGTTGCCTTTTAAAAGCCTGACTAGACCAGATCATTGCTTAATATGTTTTGTGATACAGTGATGATTTTGTTATCATCTCTTGCTTTTTGGGGGGGACTTTTTGCATTTCTAGGGACCTAAAAACCTCTAAGGATTTAGTTCAGTATGTTTTTCTTCATTCAAAATTTTCTATTCTCTTTCTACGCTAAGCTTGATTACATAAAAATAATTGATCTGATAGCCATGTCTTTATAGATTGTTGGCATGGCATCTCATTAAACACTGTTACCTTTAATACTCGTACCATAGTGTCAAATGCAAGATGGTAGGGACAGAGATCACTGTCTTTAATATCAGCACTAAGAGCTGGTCCTGGTCTGGATGATGCAATTTAAGGACTCCCTACAAAGCCCAACTATTTGCTGTTATTTTTAGAAGGGCCAGGAACTTAAAGGTGCAGGATTTTAGTGCACTTTGAGAGTACTTTTGTCCGGTTTTCAATTTCTTGGTTACTTTATGTGAACATGGACATGGACTTAAAATTTTGCTTGTGTTTTCTAGGTTTGTATTACTAGCAGTTGCAGAAGTGCCCGGGTTTGAAAACTCTTATTTTCAAGAGAATAAAAGCAAGTATTATAAGACCACAATTTTAAAGGGACTTCACATTAATATTCAGTGGTACATATCATTTTTTACATACAACATTTTACTTGTACAATTTGATAACTTATATTGCAATAAGATGCAACTGCAACATTTATTCAAAAAGTCTATGAGTTAAGCAGACAGTTCGTCCTCTTTGGTAATTACAAATTATGACAGAAGGATAAAATATGCCCACAAGTATGTCCCTTCTTTAAATGAAGAACTGCAAGCAAGTCCTGCATTAAAGACATTAAAGTGCAACCTAATGCTTTTCTGAAGTGAGTATAAGCCAAAACAGCGATGTAGAAAACCCTATCAAAAACTTACTGTTTATTTCTTTGCTGTTATGGCAATTACAAGATAAAAAGGTAAACTACTGAGTTTACCAACCATACCATGTTGCCTAATTGTCTTATGATTGATGGAAAAATAAAAAAAAAATCATTGTGTAAAGCCTACAACACACAGATACCAGAGTAGCCTCCAGATCCTCAGATCACATGGAGGTCACTTCCTGCAAGGAGAAGGAAGCAATTGAAGTTACATTAAAGCTATTGTGATTTTTTTTTTTTCACGTGCAACAAGCAAAAGTTCTGCTCATCAGAGAGCAACCGTTTGCCTGCGGGTGGTCTGCATGGCTAAAGGCTGATTTTCAAGTTTTAAAGGTTGCCCATCAACAATTGCCCAAATGTTCGACTTCTCCAGAGAGCTTGACACATTTCTGTGCTGTGGTTTTTCTTACAGCTTGCAGGAAAAAACTTGATGAGGTGCTTCTCATTAATAAAAAAGTGATTGCTTGCTGACAGAGGTTGTTTTTGAGGTTCCTGTGATAAATCAGTCTGGATCACAGCCAGAGATAAGTGCAGTAGGCAAGACTGTATCCCTCTGACATTATTTCCACAAGATGCAATTTACTTATTGCTTTGTTTGCCAGCCCTTTAGTCCTTGTAACACCCAAACACTTCTCCTGCATCTTGACTTTTGGCAACTTCAATTTTTAAACCATCTTAAACGTGGAAGCAAATACTCACACCCAACAGTGGAAAGGCCTGTGAGTGCAAGTACAAGAAGAAATAACAGGAAATAGACTGAATCCTGATGGAGAATCTGTGCTAAAAGTTGCCTGTCCACCTGGGGGACCTGAACCACCATAGACAAGAAAAAAACACCCCTCACAGTGGAATTTAGCTTCTTTTTTTCTGTGCCCAGTGTTCCTAATAGCAGCTGAAGTCAGACAGGCTGGACACTCCTGCCCATCGTATTGCCTTGACTTTCTCTGCTGGGCACTTGCTTTGCTTTTGCAGTATGTGTTGATGCTGAGCTCGATGGAGCTGACTTTGCTTACCGCTCCCTTCGTGTCTATTAAAGTATGTCACAGATGGAGCTGTACCACTGCTTAATTTACAGTCAGTCAGTTTCTGTATTCAACTTGTTCCAGAATCAAATAGTAATTGTTCACAATATTCACATTACTTTTTCTTTTTTTTTTTTTTCATTCTGTACCTGAGTACTTTCGGAGCTGTAGCCCAAGAGCAGAAAACATTAAGATTGCTAGATGATTAAATTGAATTTGGCTTACAGTTCACTTGAGAATCCTCTAGATAGTAGAGGACTGATCATTTTATTTTAATGTTTTAGACCGAAGGATGAAGGAGTTCAGAATGCAGGGAAGGAAAGAAGGAAAAGGTAGGAGGAACACATCAGGTATATATTGGAGTAGTTGAAATCTAAAAAAGTATGATGCATATCAAGAGGTGAACTCAAATATGAGATGAAACATTAACAATACCTGTGCACAAGCCAGAAAATCCGTTTATTATTTCAACTAAATTTGATGTAAAACTGTCAGAAGTCACAAGTATTCCCATTTACCATAGTCTGCGATAGTTCAGGCCTTACATCTTTCTCTCTATACATACACACAAAGATATGGCCTAACATGTCTCTCTGTGCATATACATACATAGTTTTGTGCAATATGTACATATTTTCACATTTCCTTTGAAAGTGACGCAGAATAAATGCAACCCTTTGACAATAATAACAACACAATTCTCACTGAGTAGTCAAAAACATGTATTTATGTTCAAGGATAAGTCTGCCAAAGTCACACAAAAAATATGTGCTTGAACGTCATCATGGTCAACTACTGTCACCACAGAAATCAAGAGCACCTGGCTTCAAATCCTGCACGTTTCTGTCAGAAGCAGCTTTACCAAGGACTTCTCAGAGAGCAGCCTGACCAAGACCTGAAAGAGTATCTTCCTTTAAGCCCTAGGTCATGAAAAAGAGATGCTGATAACTGTGAAACCTTTCTCCTGCTTTTGCAAACATTTACAACCTTGCCCTTGTAACCTTTAAAAGTATTTGCCCACCTCTCACTACACAGCTGGGAATATCAGAGTTTACTGACACACCTAGGTACTACCGTTATCCCAGTTATCCTCAATGGCAAAGTGCTTGCTGTTGACCTGAAGAAGGTTGCTCAGCAATTTCACTTAAATTTTCAGTGTTGCAAGTTACTGACACATGTTTGACGACGGGAGACGTCCTTCCGAAGCCTGCAGCTGTTCCTCAAAGTAGAGGAGCTGATCCACCTCGAAGCAGTCACTTGCCCTAGAGACCACCTTCTCCAGGCTCCTCCTCACCTCGTCCTCACTGGCATTCTGCTCTCTTGCTTGCTTGAGATACGCGTACACTTTCTCGAATACTTCTTCTCCCAGCTTCTGAATGGCAGATCTATGGATAAATGTTACAGAAAAGTCAAGTAACACTTAGTTCATACTGTATATTAAAACACAGAATAGCTGGCCCTGGTTTTGTAAAATGTTGCAGCTAGTTTTAGTTAAAAATATAATGACATGCCTAATTTGTCCAATTATACAAGGAACTTAAATTTCCTATTAAATTTCTCTGCTGTTATTCATAACATGAAGTGACAGCCCAGGAGTAAAATCTTGGCCACAGTGAAGTCATAGAAACTTGGCCATTGTCATTACTATCAAAATTTCATTCATTCATGAACTCATGCCTAATTTAACATACTGGTCTACCTACACCACGTCCAGTACACATATGCTTATTGTTGCCTGTGGGTTTCATCAAAAACTAAACAAGCAAAATTTTATGAGCACAAACACATTTCATTGCTTCATTGCAAGACTTCATTGCTTTATTTTGCTTCCTATCAAATAACAAAGAAACTGTTTTACAAGATCAGCATGAGCTAACTGACACTTTTTCTTTTCCTACAGCACCATCCTTTTATCAGAAGACAGATCTGTACGTCAGTGATAAAAAATACACTCACAGGAACTTAATTTATAACCAAGATCCAGTTGCAAACTACAAGATAATGAACAGATCTTTTATTAAAGGCAAACTTCTTTAAATTCATAGGTCACAAGCTACATGTAACACAAAATGTTCAACCCAGTGATCAGTTGATGAGTTCACAATATTTTGATGAAAATATTGAAGTCATTTTCTCCTCCAGCATAACAGAAACTCTATGTATCTGCTCTGCATATGTCTGTCAAAGGAATTCTGTTCACCTCCATGTCTAAACAAACCGCTTTGTCACACACAGAAAAAAAAACCTTCTCTCTTCCTCCTGGAATTCAGTAGGGCCCATACGATGTTCATCACTGCAGAACTCGACTACCCAGTGGCATCAAGCAGCAGAGGCTGCTGATAAATAAACTGTGTGCTGCCATATAGTCCTGATAGGATGTTCATCTAGGACAATGTGAAGTAATAAGTGATATAATTTGTGGGGGGAAGGAGTTTCAAAAGCAGCCCCTTGAGTACAACGTGTCAAGGACATTCAAGGATTAGGACAGCTTATTGGCATGGGAAGCTGTGACTGTGTAACACCACCTAGTAATGCTGACACACAAAAGAGACCTATAGCTATGAATGCAGCTTCATCCTTGGCATTTTCTTTCACTGATTTTTTTTATACAGTAGGTGACTTGAGATCTGACTTTCTTTTAGAGTCAAAGTTGCATGTTTCAGGGTTAATAATGCCTTTTACTTAGCCAAAAAGCGCGCTGGACTAGTTGGGAGTCACCTTGCAGAAGCTTTGGCAATTTGCCTAAAAAATTGTCTGATTTTGTTCAGGTAAGCTTGTGTTAAGCAGCCTTTCCTCCTACTAGCATTTGCTAAGATTTTTAAGAGTATTTGCATAGGACAATCATTCCTTTTCCCAAGAAATCCATTATGGCATGGACATTTCTTCAGTAAAGTTTGTTACCATATGTGAACAAAGTTTCTCAGACAAATTATTCTTCCATGTTGAAGTTTATTCAAATCTTTTGAGATATACTTTATTTCTCAAATATTTCCTGTATTGTATCTCTAGGTAGCAAAGATATTTAGTGCCATAAGGGTTTACTTGGTAGAAATTCTTTTAATTAGAAAAAAAAAAGGAGCTACTTGCCCAAATTGAAAGGATCTCACATATGCTGAATCTGTGAACTGTACTATATTCCAAAATTTCAGCCTAAATATTTGTGCTTGTGCCCTTTCCACTGAGTCTCTGTCACATGCTGTTTTCTACAGGCTTAGACCACAGCAAAATGAGAGGCTGGATCTCAGAGGTGTCCGAGGATGGGAACCACCTCATTCACCGCGGAGCAGTGAGCTGCCTGGCACCAGCACAGGGAGCTTTATCGTGCCTTTAGCACACTTGTTGTCTCACAGGTATGGCTATAATATCTCTCATGCAGGGCTTTGAGCTGCATGCAACTTCTGTGTGCAATGTGCTGGCATTAGCTAAATTCTTTCACTCTCCCAAAATTAATTTGAAGATTTTTCCTTTACTCTTTCTTAACTTTCAGTACGAAATCATACTTTTTCCTCAATAATGCAGAACAGCCTTATTAGCATATAAAAGATTTCCCCCAAACCCTATCAAGAATAGCAGGACCTACAGCCTGTGCACACTGACAATACATCTAAACTGTTTTCTATCTATCTGGGGGATGTTCTGAGTGGCTGCTCTGATCTCACCAGGAGGAATCACCTTTGCCTCACGTCGTATCTTCTCTCACTGCTTTCTTTTTGTGCAGATCGGCCATGCCCACTTCTGAGCCACACTTCAGCTATACATTACACCTCCTGCTAGTTCCTAACACAGAAATGGATGAGGGAATTGCAACAGAGAAAGATAAAACCCCATATAAGCTGCCACAGGACCAAGCTGGAATCTGTACAGAGCCATATCTGCCTCAGTCCCCCTTTCTGTAACTAGAAATATTTTTTTTTCTACTAACACTGCTGTTTTATGGGAAAAATAAAACTATTGGAAATTATTACTTCTCACACACTGACAACTGCATTTCTATGGCAAATCATGCAGATTTCTTCACAAAACTTCATTAGAAATATTGGAGCATTTCTCTACAAGGGTTAAATTAAATACTGGAGAAGCTATAGAGGAATCACTGCTAGTTCATCAGTGCCGTTACTGACTCCTCTGACCCTCTTCAACAAGTATATTTAATTTGTTTGGCAGGCCTATCTATTTAAAGATGCAAACTAAAGTAAACACAAGCCTCGGGAGTATTGCTTGTGCTAATAACTGCGACCTGTAGACTGGATCTTCTCTGTGTAGCTTGACAGAGCATGCAAATCAGCTTATGGTATAATAGCTGATACAAAAGAATTAGGCAGTAAATGTTCATAGGCTGAAAAGAAAGAGGTGACAAAAATTATAACCTCTGCTTTTATGAAAGAAGACATCAGGTTCCCTTTGGACCCAAGAGTTACATTAATGCAAGCTTATTATTAGAGAATATATTTCCTGGGATGGGGAGAGAGATGTGGGATCTAAGCCAGAAAATGTTAAAAAGAATTTACTGAGTGACTTTATTACAGTGATTAGAAAATAAAATACAGAGGGTAAGAAAGCAGCTCCCTGATACATGCTAATGTATATTTTTCCCTCCATATGAAGGTCTGCAGAGGCACAATTATGAATGTTTGCTCTGCAGCTGTGTTTAGTTACTTCTATTTTACATGTCATGTGGGACACCTGCATATACAAAGTCTTTAAATATTGAAAGTCCAGCTTCTGAATGCACTGCGAAAACAAATGCAGAGCCCCTGTTTACCCTCCATTTGGCAACAGTTTCTGATTATGAGGCATATCCTAAATCTGATATCTATCTGGCACCTCTGTCCACTCAGGACACTTCTCCCCTTTTATCCAAGGGTCATTGGCTACAGCTGGGAATTTGAAGACGGTTCAACCCCACATCTCCCACAGCGGTGCCATCGTCACCGGTTTCACTGGGGACAAAGGACTCTGATTTATAGAAAACATCCTAGATGTATTGGTCTGGAAGAGAACTAGCAAGCAGGGAGGGTAATTCTAGATGGACTGAGGACCAAGTACAACTTGAGAGAGCTGCACAAATGTCATTTGAATCAAAGGAGTAATTTGAGGTTTTCTATCCCCATATAAAACACTACAGGCAGTCCTTCAAGCAGGGACTGAAGACCAGGCCACCACGTTGTGTCCACATTGCTTGGTTTCTTGCAGCAAAGTGCAGCGGATGGAGCAGTAAACCCACCTTCCTCTACTCCTTCTGCCTGCACAGGGCACCAGGGCAGCCCCAAGGCTCCAGCCAGAGCAGGGGACACGACTGAGCAGCTACACAACCCATACATTCCCAACACTGTTGTCCATGGCGGCTGTGGTTTGAAATAAAATACCTTTTGTTGCTGGTCTTTGTCCAGCAAACAATCCATGCCTTGGGAATATTAACCGGAACCAGGCCCAGAAGCCCTACAGGTAGACAGAGAGCTAATTTGTGAATAATTATAGGGTTCTGGCATGAAGAAGGGACTTACACTTGATTCTACCAAAGATACAGTATTTCTAAGCAGGTGACAAGCAGCACAAACCCCAGCAAAACCACCGGCATTTACTGCTTGGACTAACTGCCAGTAGTAGAGGGGAGCTAAACAGGAACTTTGAGAAGGGCAATTTTATACTCAAGGTGTCTAACTGCATCAAAAAATGTTCCAAGGTACCAATGAATTTTTGCCCAAATAAATTTATCAGGCTATATGGAGATTTGCGCTGATTTCCTACACATCAGTGCAAAATTACTAAAATTTGACACGATAATAGCTTTGTGTTCTCAGCCGGCTGAGGGAGCAGTAAATCTCTCCCTAGGTGAACAAAGAATTTGCTATTGGCCTGTGGGTCTTTATTTTGACTTTACTGCCACTAGCTGTCTATTAACATTTCCTTTCTGGTCTGGAGATCAATTGCAGTACACCTACCTTCATGCAGCACTGACAAAAGCTGCAAAACAAGATTAATGCTTAAGTTTGAACTCCTCCGTGGGTGTTAGCAGCTGGGTTAATATCACTCAACCACTCAACAGCTTGTCATTGTCTGCCTTGAAGGATAACTATGACACAGAGCAGCAGCTAAGGGGGTTTTCAGCTTCTCACTTTCAAATGTCATTTGGCGTGATGGCAACTATCATTTAAAACCATTCTGCTTTTCCCTCACCCACCAAAGAAGTTAAGCAGCACTTTTTGCTCGCAAACACACAGTTTTTGCCAGTGCCTTTAAGGAGGTGCTATGTACATCACAGCTGAGCACACCAGAATAACGTCATGAAAGTGCCTCTGGTCCACACACCAGCAGCAGTGCCTCATTTCTGCCCTATGAGAAAACAAACACATTGCTCCAAAGTCGCACTAAAAGAATCCAAACT